GAGAGCTATGATGCAATTGTTATTGCTGAATCTTGGCTTCATTCTTCACATGACTGAGCCATTAATATTCCTGGCTATGTTCTCTTTCGGAGAGACGGTATAAATAGGAAAGTTGGTGGTGTCTGTCTCTATGTGAGAAGTGATCTCAGAATGAGTGTGAAAGAGAACCTAGTTGATGGAGAGTGCGATGAGGCTGAAGCATTATATATATGGGGGTGCGTACTACAAAGGTAATCATTGGAGTTTGTTATAGGCCTCCCAGTGTTAATGAGGAGGTGGAGACTCAGCTCCTTGCATAGATCGAAAGGACTGCAAGGGCTGGGACAGTGATAATAATGGGGGGTTTTAACTACCCAGAAATTGACTGGAGTAATGGTACTGCAGGAACAGTTAAAGGGCAAAAATGTTTAAACCTACTACAGAACAATTTTATGGTACAGTTCATAGAGGCCCCTATTAGGAATGATCTGGGTAGCAGTGACCATAACATGACTTAATTTATTGTTAGCTGTAAACAGCAAGCACATACGGGAAAAATAAAAATGCTCAATTTTAAGAGAGCTAATTTTCCAAGGCTGAGAGCTGCTGGCCAAGACTGGGAGGGAATGTTGGCATCAATGAACACAACACAGAAATGGGAGTTCTTCAAAAAGACTGTGTGTGAACATGCTGCAAAATATATTCCCATGGGCAACAAGTTTAAAAGGCTAAAAATCAAACCTATGTGGCTTACGGCCAAAGTTAAAAAAGGTATAGATAATAAGAAAAGAGCTTTTATTAAATATAAAAATTAAGGAATGCTATCATTGTTTAAACATTACAAAGAATATAGCAGAATATGAAAAAAGGAAATAAAGGCTGGAAAAATTAAAAACGAATGACAGATTGCAAAAGATAGCAGGACCAACCCCCAAAAATTCTTCAAATATATTAACAGTAAAAAGGTCAGGTGCAAGCATGTAGGCCCTCTACAAAATAATCTAGAGTGGGTGACTGGGGACAAAGAGAAGGCAAATTTATTAAATACCTTCTTCGGCTCTCTGTATACAAAGGAGCATGGGGGCGCTCTTGTCCATAATGGGCATGGTATTGACACAGCTCCAGATGATCCACATTGGCTTACAATTGATATGATCCAAAAATTTATAGACAGAATAAAGGTGAATAAAGCACCTGGACCAGATGGCATACACCCATGGGTCCTTAAAGAATTGAGCTCTGTCATTTCAAAGCCATTGTTTCTAATTTTTAGGGACTCTTTAATGACTGGCCTAGTACCACTGGATTGGCATAAGGTCAATGTGGTGCCAATATTTAAAAAGGGGTCAAAATCTTTACAAAGTAATTATAGACCTGTTAGTTTAACTTCTGTAGTTGGAAAGTTACTGGAAAGTTTAATAAAAGGCCACATAGATGAGTTCTTGCTGGAAAAAAATATTTTAAGCAACAGACAGCATGGATTCTTGAAAGACAGAAGTTGTCAAACAAATCTGATTTCTTTTTATGAGTAGGTGAGCAAAACCTTGGACAGAGGGGTGGCTGTGGACATGGTATACTTGGATTTTGCAAAAGCGTTTGACACAGTTCCCCACACATGGCTGATGTGTAAGGTAAAGTCTACGGGCTTGGAAAAATACATATGTAAATGGTAGAAAACTGGCTAAAAGATCGTATTCAGATAGTAGTGGTTAATGATTCATACTCTGAATGGTCTAGGGTTGTCAGTGGTAAACCCCAAGGTTCAGTTTGGGACCCTTACTTTTAATATATTTATAAACGATATAGGATCTGGGATTAAAAATACAATTTCAGTCTTTGCAGATGACACCAAGCTGTGCAGTGGAATAACGTCCTTACAGGAGGTCTCCAACTTAAAGTTGACCTCAATGCACTGTTTAATTGGGCAACTATGTGGTAAATGAGGTTTAATGTTGATAAATGGAGGTTATGCACTTGGGGGCTAAGAATACGCATGCATCATACATACTAGGGGGGAGTACAACTGGGGGAATCAATGGTGGAGAAGGATCTGGGAGTTCTGGTAGATCACAAGCTTAATAATGGCATGCAATGCCAAGCTGCGGTTTCTAAAGCGAGCAAAATCCTCTCTTGTATTAAAAGAGGTATAGACTCCAGAGAGAGAGATATTACCCCTGTACAAATCATTAGTAAGACCTCATCTGGAATATGCAGTTCAGTTTTGGGCACCAATTCACAAAAAGAACTTTGGGGTACTGAAGAAAGTGCAGAGAAGGGCAACCAAACTGATAAGAGGCATGGAGGAGATCAGCTATGAGGAAAGATTAGAGGAACTGAATTTATTCTCTCTTAAGAAGAGGAGATTAAGGAGGGATATGATCAACATGTATAAATACATCAGTGGTTCATATAGTGAACTCGGTGTAGAGTTGTTCACCCTGAGGTCATCACAGAGGACAAGGGGGCACTCTTTACATCTGGAGGAAAAAGAAATTTAATCTCCAAACACGGAAAGGTTTCTTCACAGTAAGAGCTCTGAAAATGTGGAATAGACACCCTCAAGAGTTGATTTTGGCCAGCTCAGTGGATTGCTTTAAAAAAGGCCTGGATTGTTTCTTGGATACACAGATTATAACTGGCTACTATTTATAGGTAAAGTTGATCCAGGGAATATTCGATCGCCTCTCGGGGGATCCAGAAGGAATTTTTTCTCCTGCAGGAGCAAATTGGATCATGCTTTGCTGGGTTTTTGCCTTCCTCTGGATCAACTGTGAGTGTAGGATTATAACTTTTTTTTTTTTTTTTTTAATGGTTGAACTGGATGGACTTTTGTCTTTTTTTCTGCCAGACTAACTATGTAACTATGTAATACTTCACTATGTTGGTTACCCCTAGTCCTCTGGAAAGCTTATTCCTATTAAAAAAAGTTGTCTGGCCAGTCTAGACACCATATGAATCTGAGAACTTTCCACTGTTTGATTCTAAAAAATATGGTTTGGTATTGCGATTGAAAGGACCCGTGATGAAATATAATAGTTTAGGAAGGTAATTCATTTTGATGGCATTGATCCTGTCAAAGCAGAAATTAAGAAGCTATACCATATTTTCATTCCTATTTTTGTATTAATAATTTCTGGAACAGAGCATGCTCTCAATAAACAGGGGTCCTTAGTAGTGTGAGCAAAGGAAAAAACAACAGTTTTTACTAATAATTTTTAATTATTTCCTACAAATTGAGCAAACAGTGTAGCCATGCAGTGGGAGAAGTCAATAGAATTCTAGGGTGTACCACTAGATGGGTCACCAGCAGAAGGAAGAAGGACCTGATTCTTCTTCAAAGATCTCTAGACCTCATTAGAATACTGTGTTCAGTTTCTGGAGACTGGAGACCTCACTTACAAAAAGATATTGATGAGACAGAATGAGTCCAGAGACAGGCAACAAAAAATGGTGAAAATGGTGAAAGGTCTGGGGGATAAAAGATATCAGGAGAGACATAAGGAACTTAATATATACAGGAGGAAGCAAGGGAAAGGGGAAAAATGATCAAAACTTATACGGTTCAATAAGGGTGAATAAGGTTCAGGAGGAAAATATTTGCAATATAAAGCCAAGGTCAAGAACATATGGGAATGACCTCAAAAAATCATAGAAAGTATTATTTTACCAAAAGAGTAGTTAATGCAATAGAGTTCCAGTGGAGGTAGTGAGTCAGCCAACACTGAGTTAAGTGGATTCAAACATGGTTGAGAAAAACTTAGATCTACCCTCAGACAAAAAAAAAAAAACAATAAAAAATAAAAAAAAAGGGGGGGGGGGGGCAGACTTGGTGGACCACTAGGTCTTTTTTCTACCATCACTCTTCACACTGGTTACATGTAAAAGAGGCTCTGCTACACTCCTGCGTTTTTGTGCATATCCACTAAATCTTCTTCGATAGATGTCATCTGGGTAGTGTTCACCTCTGTGATTATATTGGGCAAACAGACCAGACATAGAGAACAATGATCTCTATAATGACCCATAGAAACTATACCCTCAGTTAATATGTATGTTAATACCAGAACACACATTCAGGTCTAGCTGGTAAATTAAATAAAATGAGTGTACTGTAGATTATGCATTTGTCTGACAGATTAAGCAAGAGATGGATGTTTTTCTAAGAAAAAAAAACTAATGGATTCCTCCATCCACACAATTGGTACAGAAGGCTTCTGTACCAAATATTAACACTGATTTTCTCAGGTGTTCAAATACTTATGTTCAGCAGTGCAAGACAAATAAATTCTTTAAAAATCATACAATGTGATTTCCAGAATTGTTTTTTTTAATTCTGTCTCTCAGAGTGGGAATGCACCTACAATGTGAATGTCAGACCCCTCCATGATTTCTAAGTGGAAGAAATTGCAAAATCGCAGGTTGTTCAAATACTTCTGTTTCTCACTGTATGTCTGGTGCATCCATAGTAGAGATTCAGTGCGAATTGCAAAGGAGTCCTGTCAGTTTTCTGAGCAGTGTGGTCTTGCTCAGGTGCAAATTCAGGCCCATTGACTTCTATGGGAACGCTTCTGAATTACACATGTCATTCAGTTGTGAACAGGATAAAATCCTGACCTGATCGTGATGAAAACCTGACCTGAAATACTGAACAATTAGCTAAAAACTGAGCTTCAATTCGCACCACACATGTGTGAATCCACACTTGTTCTCACTTTCTGCCCATGGGGTCAACATGATAAATGATGAGGATAAATATTCCCAAAGGGGACACAGACAGCAAAAAAGTCTAAGTGAAAATGTTTGGGCTAGAATTTTGCTTTAAGCCAAAAATGGCTGTGCTCTTTAGTTGATCAAGTTAATGAAGTGCTTGTACCCTCATGCTAATGTTTATCATTTTCTCTCAGGTGGAATGACAAGTGGAACATTAGAGAAGGAATAAATATTACTGATGATTCATTCACAGGTTTAAAAAAGAATGTCAGTGATTCATGTAACGAGCGAGCAGCAACCATGATACATACTTGAAGGCAATGATGTTGGGGTGCTTTAACTTTCTCAGGTGTTTAATGTCAGTTTCTTTCTGCTCTCTCACTTTCTTGATGGCGACTTCTTCTCCTCGGAATTTCCCCAGGAAAACCGCTCCTTGTGCCCCACTACCCAGCCACTGCAGCTCCGAAATCTCCTCAAATGGGACTTCCCAAGTATCTAAAAGTGAAAAAAGAACCAGATTTAGGAAAAAAAATTATAACTATAACATAAATATAACAAAGGTCTTTTAGACATCATTGCAACCAAAAGGTGTCAGTTCTAGGCTTCAGCATGGGGGATCTTTTGTCCAATATACAGAATGATTATCAAATGGTGTTCTGGAGTTTGGACATAAAGGTGACATATTTTATTAGGTCGATGTGAAGCCTCCGTTTCTAAAACACATAGGACATACTCTAGTTATATAAGAAAAAGTTTGAACTGCCAAAAGTGGAAACATCGTCCCCTAAATACGGTACATTTATTTGCAGCAATATTGAGCAGTCATATGACTGTCTCTGGATTCTCAAACCTGTGAAAGGCCTGGTGGGTGAGAGTCGCTGTCTGCTGTCTGGGTACAGACATTAAAGTCATGCTAAACCTCACTTTATTTTTTTAATAAAAAAGAAGCTATACTTACCTGCTCTGTACAAAGATATTGCAGAGTGGTGGCTTACCTTCTCTTTTTCAGTTCCTGCCAGTGCTATCAGCTCCTCCTTCCTGTGAGTGACACCTCAGCAAACCAACTGCTAAGGAGGCACCCATGCGGGCCTGCTCCTAAGTTGGGCTGTGTGTGTTTATAGAGCCACGCACGTTGGTAAGCCACACACCCTCCTCATAGGATTTGACTGACAGAAATGGGAGCCTATGGCTCCTGATTGCCAATATCTGAAGGTAGTTTGCTGCATTCAGAGGCAGCTAAACACTACCTCTAGATGCAGCAACATTTTATGCTACTGCCACATACAAGTTGGCCAATTACCTGTGGTCAGTTTTTGGGTGGTCACAGCTCAGCAGAAACACAGTCAGTCAGAGGCTCTGTTTTATTGTAACTTCTCATTTGAGTAATTACATGCAAATAGCAGTGGAGCCTGCCAGTGATTTGTACAATGGCAAGAATCCACTGATTGTTGCTGGAGGCCACAGATTTTCAGCCATCTGCATGTAGCCTTAAGATAGAACTAAAGACAATACCTTTTCTTCATTTTAGATAGAGTAAGGGAGGGTTTTAACTCCTGTGAGTTTTTTTTCATCCATGTACGATTGGGGAGATTTCCCTTCAAGTGACCACAACAGGAAGCGAGAGGAAATCCCTCCAAAATCAGGGAATCTCTGGTTGTCACCAGCATTACCAGAACTAGTGTCCCCATTAGAAGATCTCTTCTCTATTCCTGTTCTGGTGACAACTTAAAATTTGGGGTTTTCTTTCACATTCCCTCTCAGTGATTAATGTAAACAGGACAAATAGAGAGAGTGATACTCTCTAACAAGGAAACAGACAGCAATAAAAACTTGCCTTTATTTACATTTTAAGTCCATCAGCACAGTACAATAAAGTGCGCTGACTACAAGCATTCTGTTAGCTTGGCTCCCTGTAGTTTGGGGAGCAGACACAGAACAGCTACAATGTCAATGCTGCATTGCAAGGCAGTGGTCAGCACTGTGCCATTTTACTATAGGAATCCCCATAAAGAATTGACTTAAGCAGGGGGGGTGGGCAACTGTGGCCCTCCAACTGTTGTAGAACTACAAGTCCCATTAGGCATTGCAAAACTGACAGTTACAAGCATGACTCCCAAAGGCAGAGGCATGATGGGACTTGTAGTTCACCAACAGCTGGAGGGCCACAGTTGCCCACAGTTGCCCGATTCGAACCAACGACCCTAGTTAAAACTATGGTTATTTTCAGTATATCCTCCCTATTTTTCTGCACGCCAAGATAGGGCTAATTGAAAAGTTGATTCCACATGTGCAATGTAAACATATTTGCCCACATATTGTTATTTCATAGACAAAATAATAATAAAACAATCACATTATGAAGCAATCAAAATGACATGTACTCTCTCTCTGGCAGACAGGCGCTTTGTGGATATCTGACAACAGAGACTGAAGATACAAATATGGCTACATACATGTACATAAATATGCTACTATAGATGTGCATAAAAACAACGTAAAAATTATTCAACATGTTATTAACATTATTTACATTTGGTTGATCAGTGCTCAGTATTACCTCCTACCAAGGAGGCACTGAGGACAGTCAGGGAACCAAGACATTACACTCCCAGAGGTGTCAGTTTCTGAAGAAGGCATTGGGGGCCAGTTTCTCTGCATCAGAGTGCCTTCAGCAGTGCAGATGGTTGGAGAAGTATTTATTTTCCCTTTTACAAGAATATCTTTTATTGACATGTTAGATTTGGCAATTGAGTCACCTTGACCAGTTTTACCATAAAGATTCTTTCCTATATTGGTGGTAAAATCTAATTTTAATTCATGAACAACTAATGGTTCCTTGTCCTGGGTTTAAAAATAAGTGAATCTACAAAAGTTTTACAGTCACCTTGAATATATTATAACATTTTATTTAATCATCTCTTAGTTGGCATTAACCATTCATTTATTGCTTCCTGTCTTGTAACCCCACCTTCTTACAGAGTGGTGCTGAAAACTGTACTCCATATTCAATATATAGTGACAATACTATACTTTTTTCAATTAGTACATACCGGCAGTAGGTAAACAAAGCACAATACAAGCAAGGTTATTGGATAGTGACAGTAAGTTCAAGAGCGACTTTAGCTTAGCTGTTGATCATGCTTACATATTAAGAATGATGATTTAAATGCTTATGACAACAATATTACAATAGATGTCTATGGATTAGCCATGGTCCCATATAGCCTGATGTTTTTGAAGGGAGTCGTATATGAGATGAAAGGCTAATTTTTTAGCTAAACTGAGTTAACTTTGGTGATCTTGAATGGATTTTATTTAAGAAAAAATGGCAAAACCCCTTATTTTTAGATCTATGTATGCGGTCATGTGACCACAAACCATCCAGCTCATCCTGCTTCCACTGGGACTGGTGGGTGACTACTTTTGGTTGACTGATGTGAGAGGCTGCTTCATTCATGGATTTTAAGAAAAACTGGAAAAAAAACCCTTCATTTTAGGGCTATATATCTGGTCATGTGACCACAAACCAGCCAGCTCACTCCCCTTCCATTGCAGCTGGTGGGTGCCTACTTTTGGTTGAGTGATGTGAGGCTGAGGGAAGGGGGGGTGCTTCATGCTTGATACTGTTGGTGCTGCATGGAAATGCTTGTGCAGCTAAGAAGTATCTGACGTAACATGTCATGATGAGATGGGAAATTAGATGGAAAAGCTATGAGATGATATAGAAAAGCTGCCAGGCCCAGACACTGAAAATCATTTGCTGTACAAGGAACTGGCAGAATCAATGGGTAATTTCTCAGTAAAAACAAGTGATTAAAAAGCTAACATAATATTAATTTTTTCTTAATTATTGTAGCACCTATGTTTAATGTTTTATTGAATAGTGACACAATTGATACCATGTTGTGGTTACTGCTGCCCAAAGGTTCCTGGACCTCCACACTTAATATGGCAGTTAATCTTTGGAAATGATCAAATAAACAACATTGTGTCCTCTATTTGGTTCAGACACTACAGAGGTAAGGTAGCTGTCTTGCAAAATAGAAAATCTGTGTTTGTTTACTAGAATTAAAGACCGTCCACACTGATGTTTGGGTACTTGTAATCACCCATAATAGGGACCCCATTTCTGTCTGCTGTCTTTTACAGCTGTAACAGTATTTGAACTTTAACTGTATCATTTATGTGGGAAGCCATACATCAAACCCCTACGAGTATATTAGAGCTGTACTTTCACCATGTATATTACTCATACAGACTTCACGCTGTCAATGTCATCAGAGATGTCTTCATTCAAAGCTGATCTAACGGAATATTTTACGAAGAGACAAACCTCTCTACATTTTTTTCTACCCTTCCTAACTAAACTGTAGCTTTCCAAATTCATTATTCAGCCGTGGCTGTCATCAAGCCAGAATTCTGTTATATCTACTACATCATAATCTTGGTCTATTATGAGCAACTGCAGTTCATTAACTTTGGAAGGCTTTTTTTTTTTTTCTTTTGCTGTCTTGCATTTTATATTTTTACTACCACATTTTTTCTTTTCAGAGAACAAGTAGCCTTAATCACCTCCTTACTGGCATTGTTAACTTGACCGCTTTATCCCAGCTTCCTTCCAGATATTAAGTTTAAAGTGGTTCTTCAGCCTTTTTGAAAAAAAAAAAAAAAAAAAGGTCAGCGGCTACAAGTACTGTGGCTGCTGGCTTTTCATAAAGAACTGCTTCTTCACAGGTCTTCGGGTCCCCAGCACCAGCATGTTTACTGTGGCAGCCAGCTGCGATTCCTTGCGGTTTCACAGCTGGCTGCCCACTGCGCGGTGATCAGACCGGAAGTGGGAGTTGGTACCTCTCAAAACCAGGTACCCACTCCCTCCCCCCACCAAAAGTGCCAAGTGCCAAAAACAGAAAAGGAGGGGGCATACAGCGGAACATCCCCTTTATGGTTAATTTCGGCTTTAAAGAGGTCATACCACCAGATCATTAATTTCAACAAAAATGTTTCCCATAACATTATATGTGCGATACATATTTTATGCATGTTTATTTTACCAGTAAAAGTCTCCCTTTATCTGTGCTTTTACCTACAGTTTTTTAAGCTGGTGACAGAGTCTCTTCAAAATATTCTCCAACCTTCTAACCATTCTTTCACACAACACAGCTACACACCCTCCCTTTAAGATGCTGCCCATCTCTAGGAGAGAAGCTATAGTCAAATTAGAAATAGGAATCCACACTCGTCATACCTGAATCAGTTCCCGATACCTAATTATACACTATATTGCCAAAAGTATTGGGGCACCCCTCCAAATCATTGGATTCAGGTGTTCCAATCACCTCCATGGCCACAGGTGTATAAAATCAAGCACCTAGGCATGCAGACTGCTTCTACAAACATTTGTGAAAGAATGGGTCGCTCTCAGGAGCTCAGTGAATTAAAGTGTGGTATCGTGATAGGTTGCCACCTGTGCAATAAATCCATACGTGAAATTTCTT